CAGGATGGGGACCAAGCAGAGGGACCTGGTGTGGCACCACAGGGGTGTGGGTGCCCCGGGTAGGGGATGGGGGAGATCCCTTGGGGCTGGAAATGCTAGGGGGCTGTGGGAGGACCTGGGGGGGGGTCTCACCAGCTGTTGCGGGGGTGGCACCCACAGAAGGAGATGTTCTTCATCTGGAAGAAGTGGCTGCAGCGCTCGAACTGGAAGAGGAGAAGGAGATGGAGACGGAGATGGAGATGGAGGAGGAGAAGAGATCCGAGGTGTGGGTGTCTGGCTCATGGCAGGGCAGCCACCTGCACCCACCACCACCTCGGGGGGCCTCACAGGACCCCCTCTCCCACAGCTCTCCCCCTCCCTGCCCCGTGCCCCTCACCTCCTCGTCCCGGCTGTACTCGGTGACGGTGAGGATGAGCTTGATGCCCTGCAGCGTGATCTCCAGGTCGCAGCTGGCCGGCGGGCGCAGGTGTACCGTCAGCTTCCTGGTGGTGGCAATCTGGGGGGGCACGGAGTGGAATCATGACATGGGGGGGTCACGTCAGCATGGGGAGGAGGGGGGGGCATGCCACCAGCCCCCTGCCGCAGGCTCACCTTCTGCATGGCGGCGCAGAGGATGCCGTTGCCCTGGTGGTAGGGAACCTCCACCGAGCCCAGGAACTGCACGTTGAACCGCTCCACCCAGCACGGGTTCCTCTTCAGGCCTGTGGGGAGAGGGGACAAGGAGATGCCGCCCTGAGCCCCCCACAACCCCCAACACCCCCCCCCGCCCTGGGGACCCCGCAGGCTCCTACCGATGGCGTCCCGGGCTTGGCCGACCACCTCATGGGCGTAGAAGGCGGGGAAGATGCCCCTCTCCCCCGTCCGCATGTTGTAGCCCCGGTACCAGTAGTCATCCTCCTCCAGCTCCACCAGGATGGGGTCGTCCACGTCCAGCTCCAGCTCGTCCTCGTGGCGGGGGATGAACCTGGGGGGCGACGCGGGATGGAGGAGGTGGGCAGGGAGGGGCAGAGCCATGGGAGAGGGGGTCCTGCGAGACCCCCCCAAGGTGCCCGTGGGCAGGGCTGGGCTGGCTGCTCACCTGAAGACGGCGCGGTGGGTCTGCTCCCGCTCTTCCCCGTTCACCATGCAGGAGAACAGCCCGAAGGACTCTGTGCCTGTGGAGGAGGAGGCTGCCATGGGGCTGGGGGGCAGCTCCCACCCACCCCACCACCTGGGGGGCACCCACTGCCTCTGCCCACCCTTGGGAAGAGGGCAGTGGGGAGCAGATGGCCATCACCCATGACCCCATCTTGGGAGGGTCCCACCAGAACCCCTGGCCTCATGCCCCCCACCCAGCAGCCTGGGGACAAGGACCCCACAGGGTGCTGGTGTGAAGGGGTGTTGGGGATCTGCCACCACGGAGGGAGACCTCCACAGCCTTCAGGTCCAGACCCACAACCTCTCCTGCCCCATCTCCCGTGCTGTGCCGCACAGGGACCATGCCATGGCCAGGGTGGCTGAGGCAGGACATGGGAGGGCAACCAGCCTGCAGAGCAGCCCAGGATGGCACGGCACGGGTCACTTACTGGAGGAGCGTGAGGTGCTGTTGACAAAGACGTTGAGGAACTTCTTGGAGAACTGCAGGTCGGCCTCTGGGGACGAGTCCTCGGAGGAGCTGTGGGCGTCGGGGGCCACCAGCCCATCCCCGAAGGCGGCCTCCTCCTCCTCCAGGTCGCAGCGGTCGCAGGCGCGGAGCAGGTCGCTGTCGTCGCTCAGCACCGAGGTGCAGCGCCGCAGGCTCACCAGCTCCAGCTGCGTGTGCTCGTCCACCACCAGCGTGTACTTCACCGAGTCGTAGGCCAGGGACTCGTCCAGCGCCCGCGGCTCCAGCCCCCCGGGGGCGGGCGGCAGCTCCCCCCCGAAGCTCCCCCGCAGCGCGTCCTCGGGGAAGGGGGAGCCCTTCAGGTAGGGCACCTCGTCCTCGTCCGTGGAGTAGGCCATGGTGAAGCCGCGGTTGGTCTTGGCGGTGGAGACATCCAGGGCGGGCGGGTGGCTGTCGGGGCTCTGCTCCTGGGGCGCTAACCGGACGTCGTCGATCATGGCGTCGGCCTCCAGGACGCCCGAGTCCAGGTCCCTGTCGATGGCCCAGTCCTCCGGGCCGGTGGCCGGTGGCGAGGGTGTCGCGGTGGTGCGGTGCTCCTCGGGGGCCACCTCGGTGCGCGGGGCAGCGCGGGGGGGCCCTGAGCGGCAGCCGAAGGTGGCCAGGACCTCGGAGGCGCCCAGCCTGTCGAGGGCGACGGGGCGCCCTGGGAAGACAGGGGCGATGGTGTCGTTGGTGGGGTTGCTGAGGAAGAGGAAGGGGCCCGGCTCGTCGGCGGGCAGCTCCGGCACCGGCTCCGTGGCCCGCTCGTCCTCGGCGCGCTGGAGGGAGCTGCGCAGCGTCTCCATGTCCACCAGCTCGATGGCACGCTGGCAGTGGGGCAGGGGGGCCGGGTCCCCCGTGCCCACCGGGGAGTCCCGCGAGACCGGCCCCTCGTCCAGCGCCTCGCTCAGGATCTCGGGCTCCAGGTCGGAGGCCGGGGAGATGGTGTCGCAGAGCGAGTGGGTCTGCTGGAAGCACTCGTCTGGGCACTTGATGGGGTAGGAGCCCTCCGAGATCATCTTGTTGACGAGGTTGCTGAGCAGCCAGGGCGAGTCCGAGTCCTCGCTCAGGTCGGGCTCCGACTCGGAGTCGGAGTCGTACTCGCTGTTGTCCTCCTCGTCCGCCTCGGGCATCAGCTTGGGCCCCACGGGCAGGTAGAAGGAGCGCCGGATGCTCTCCAGGCTGTGGTCGGGGTCGATCTTCAGGTCCAGGGGGCTGGAGACGGAGACGTCTGTCTGGCCCGCGGGCGCAGAGGAGTCCACCGGGTCCAGGCTGTCGTAGTAGCCCTCCATCTTCAGCTCGGCCAGGCTCTCCCGCCTCACCACCCCGCGCTCCGGCAGCTCCCTCTCCAGGGTCTCCTCCTCCTCCTCCTTGCCCTTGTCCAGCAGCAGGGAGTCCTTGATGCCCATCAGGCCGGGGGGCTCCAGCTCCGTCTCCAGCTCGGCCTCTGAGGTGGGCGAGCTGGCCTCCTCGATGGAGTTGGTGAGGTGGGAGGACCTGCCGCTGCTGCTGTCGCTGCTCAGGTCCAGCTCTGTCTCCGAGATGGAGGAGATCATGTTGCTGACCAGGCGCCCGCCGGCGAAGGCCGCCTCGATCTCCCCCTCCACGTCCGAGTCGGAGCCGGGCGAGCTGAGGTCTTCTCCGTGCCGGCCGCCGGGCAGGAAGGGCTTGGTGGTCCGGCTGGTGAGGTCGGCCTCGATGCCGGGGTCCGAGGAGGGTGAGGTGGTCTCCGAGGAGCCCGAGGGGTGCCCCCGCATGCTGGCCGCCCGCCCGGGCTGCGGGCCCTCCCCGTCGGAGCTGAGGGGCTCCGCCGGCCCCGCGGGGCGCACGTAGGCACCCGCCAGCCGGGCG